GTAGTGGCATCGAATTAGTGGTTGTAAATAAACTCATCAGAGATACCAGGATTAAAATTTTCTACGCCACACGTGCGTTTCTTCTATGATCTACCTTAATGCAAAATGTTTATTTCCCTGGGTCAAACCAGGAACCTCATCTCTTAAAGCTGTTCTTGTCTATGATAATCGAGAAATTTGGTGTTCATGGTGCGTAATTTCATTTCAAAAATGTGTTAACCTATTGTCATTGCAAATCATATAAGTTGTCATGCTCATGATTTGTTATTTAATATTAATCTGTAAACAAATCTAACTGATTTTAATTAATGAACTTTAAAATGGGAGTTAATAAACTATTAATTTACACACATTAGAACTTATTTTTCACATATAGTTTAAATCTACAGATCGACCGGATTTAAATTGAACTTAATATATTTTATGATGACCATAGGAAGACAAAATTAACATTATTTTATAGAAGTCTGTTAACAATTTAATAATGACGATAATAGAGATTTCAATTTAGATCTTACATAATAAATGAATATATATGTAATACGAAGTATTAGTCTGTTTAGATTACAGATTTAGAATTCATTTGTTCAGCTGAGATTTAATATAGCTAACTATGGCCAAAGTGGTCAGTGTTTAAATAAGATCGTTTTATTTGGTGGCAAAACGAAGATATTGATATATCAACCTTTTATCAATGTTCAAATAATATTCAATATAAATAACTCCAGATACCAAAGTGGTCGCTGTTTTTTAAAAATGTATTAACAAAAATACCAACTCAACTGAGGCAAATTCAAAAAGGGGGAGTCCACAAAACCTGACAAAACCAAACGCTTGACTATATCAACCAACGGAACGACTTGAAAACAACTGTCATATTAAGTGAAAACGATTTATTTTTAGTTTCAAAACAAAATATGAATTAGCTATAAAACGACCATTTCTTTTTTAAACATTGTAGTATTACATATATTATTGTCGTTTTAAACGATTTCAATAGCGCGCACAGACTAGGATTATTCGCAAGAAATAAGAAAGACGGATTGACTAATAAAACAGACGTCATTACAAGACTTAGAGTATAACAGGCATAATTGTACAAGGTAAAAAGTTGATAAGGTTATCAGGACAGACAAAAGACACAACCAGAAAGAGTTACAAGGATAGAAATCACAACTAGAAAGTCCCACAAGGACAACAAGGACAAAAGACGCAGCAAAAAAAAGGGTCACAAGGACAGAAGACAAAGCAAAAAAGGGTAACAAGAATAGAAGACACAATGAGGGAGGGTAACATGAACAGAAAACAAAACCACAAAGATATCAAGGACAAAAGACACAACCAGAAAGGGTAACAAAAACAAAATACACAAACAGAAGAGGTAACAAGAACAGAAGACACAACCAGAAAGGGTAACAAGACACAGCCAGAAAGGATAACAAGAACAAAAGACACAAACAGGGATAGGAACAAGAACAGGAGACACAAACAGGGATGGTAACATGGACAGAAAACAAAACCACAAAGGGTTACAAAGACAGAAGACACACTAAAAAAAGGTTACAAGGACAGAAGACACAACCAGAAAAGTTAACAAGGACAGAAAACACAAACAGGGAGGGTTACAAGGACAGTAGACACGAACAAGAAAGAAAACAAGGACAGAAGACACAAAAGGGATGGTTACATGGACAGAAGACACAAACTGGGGGAAATACAAAGACAGAAGACACATAAACTGTTAACACAGAGATATGTCTCGCCTATTTGTTATTTTGATAATGCAAATGTTGAAATTAAAATAGCAATACTTTAACATGTAAGTTATGCAAATATTCAAAGTCAATGAACCATGACTGAAGGTACAGGGCTAAACAATCTCTCATGGAAATGAGATGTGCCAATGCTAATACAACTGCAAACCAAATACCATTGACTTTTCATAAGTCGTTCCCTTTAAACAATCCTAAACACAAACATTAACTTGTAAACTATGTAAAAGTTTCAAAGTCAATGAACCATAATTAGGGGGGTGGGGAATATAATCTCCATGGAAATAAAACTTGCAAATGCCAATACATTTGCATACCCAATATCATTGACTTAACATTAGTAGTTCATCTTAAACTGACCTAATCACAAACTAATACATGTAAACTAAGCAAAAGTTTCAAAGTCAATAGACCATGACTGAGGGGTAAGGACCAAATATTCTCCATGGGAATGAGATGTGCTAATGCTTATACAACTGCATCATACCAATTATCATTGACCTACTACTAACGGTTCCCTTAAACTGACCTAATCACAAACTAATACATGAAAACTAAGCAAAAGTTTCAAAGTCAATAGACCATGAATGAGAGGGCGGGGCCAAATTATCTCCATGGAAATGAGATATGCCAATGCTTATACAACTGCATACAAAATATCATTGACCTACCACTAGTGGTTCCCCATAAACTGACCTAATCACAAACTAATACATGTAAACTAAGCAAGTTTAAAAATCAATAGACCTTGACCGAGGGGGCAGGTCCAAATAATTTCCATGGTAATGAGATGTGCCAATGCTAATACTGCTGAATACCAAATATCATTGACCTACCACTAGTGGTTCACCATGAACTAGACCTAATCACAAACTAATACATAGTTGACGCCGCCGCCGCCGGAAAAAGCATACCTATGTCTCGCTTTTTGACTCCGTAAAGGCGAGACAAAAATGGACGGTTACAAGGACAGAAGACATAAAAGGAATGGTTACAAGGACAGAAGACACAATAAGAGAGGGTTACAATGATAAAAGTTTATAAAAGAAAATAAACATATGATAACAGAAAATGGTTAGAAGGACAGCAGACACAATCTGAAATGGTAAAAAGATTTGCAGAAAATGAAATGATACACAATTGAAAAAAAAACAGGATGGTCGACAAAAGGTAACCAGATACAATCGTGAAGTCTTAGATGGATAGAAGATTGACACATAATAAAGAGTTTGGGAAAATACCAGACGGGCTATAAAAGTAAACACACTCAAAATGTATCAAATGTACAAAATATTGCTTGAAAAGACAAAAAAAAGAAGAAAAAATTGAAAGTGTTTGAAGGCCTGAAGATTGCCAAAAAGAAAACATACAAAATAATTAAGGACAAGAAGATCACAATATCGCCAAAGAATACAACAGATGCATTCATGATTTTCTCGCTGCGTTGAAGACCCATTGATGGCCTTCGGTTGTTATCTGCTCTTTGGTCGGGTTGTTGTCTCTTTGACATATTCCCCATTTCCATTCTCAATTTTATAAAGGACTAAATTAACAGATTTTTTTTATAATATAGAACAGATACATTCGAATAACAGAAGATCGCCGAAAGATAGAACAGGTATCATAATCAAGGACTAGAATAACAGAAGACAGACTTAGGATAGAGCAGATACACTCATAAAGGACTACAAAAACGGAAGATAACCCAAGGATAGAACAGAAACAATCATAAAGGAAAAGAAAAACATAACATCGCCCATGGATAGAACAGATACAATCAAAAAGGACTACAAGAGCAGAAGATTGCCCAAGGATAGAACAGGTACAATCATAAAGGGATAGAAGAACATAATATCGCCCAAGGATAGAACAGATACAATCATAAAGGACCACAAGAACATAATATCGCCCAAGGATAGAACAGATACAATCATAAAGGACCACAAGAACATAATATCGCCCAAGGATAGAACAGATACAATCATAAAGGACCACAAGAACATAATATCGGCCATGGGTAAAACAGATACAACCATAAAGGAAAAGATGAACAGAATATTGCCTTAAGATAAAGCAGATCTTGTAAGAAAAGAGGTCGCTAAAGAATAGAACAGATACAATTATAAAGGATTGAAAGACCAGATGAGCACCAGAGGATAGAATATATACAATCATAAAGGGCTAGAAGAACAGAAGATCGCCAAGGGAGAGATCAGATACAACCATAAAGGACTAGAAGAACAGAAGTCGTTAAAGGAGAGAACAGATACAACCAAAACTGATATGAATAAAATAAGACTACTGAAAGATAAATAGGTGCAGTCTGGAAGGGAACAAATCACTCGAGATTGCCAAAGAGAAAATGAATATCAGTTACTTCTATTGTGTGTCACTGACTCTCACTTTTAAAAAAATTAAGTCGTTTCTGTTAGGAGATATATCTGGCGAAAACAGCCAAATGCAGTGTGTTCTTAGAATCGTCTATCATTGGACAATCGTTTTAGTTTAAAAATAAACTCATCATATATACCAGGCTTAAAATTTTGTACTCTAGACGGTGTAGATTATCAGTTTGTCAGGAATATGACAGTTGTTATCCATTCGTTTGATGTGTTTGAGCTTTTGATTTTGCCATTTGATTAGGGACTTTCCTTTTTGAATTTTCCTCGGAGTTCAGTATTTTTGTGATTTTACTTTTTATCTTATCTGTACTATCTTTTGTTTGAATTTTCTATCAGAAAAAGCCTTAAACAAAATACACGTTATACAAATTCAAATGTTTCGTTTTTTCCTCTCCAAAGAGAGTTATTTGTTCAAATAAAAAAAGGTGTTACTAATTTTTAGGAATGTTCTCAGTAGTTGTCGTTTGTTGATGTGGTTCATAAGTGTTTCTCGTTTCTCGTTTTTTATATAGATTAGACCGTTGGTTTTCCCGTTTGAATGGTTTTACACTAGTAATTTTGGGGCCCTTTATAGCTTGCTGTTCGGTGTGAGCCAAGGCTCCGTGTTGAAGACCGTACTTTGACCTATAATGGTTTACTTTTATAAATTTTGACTTGGATGGAGAGTTGTCTCATGAGCACTCATACCACATCTTCTTATATCTATCTACTAACATTAAAATTATACTGAACTATCATTTTGCATGCCCATTTATATTTCCAATTTTAAAACCGTTTTTTTTATAAGTTTAATCCCAACATTTAATGCAGACTTTATGTTTCTTACCTTGATATGACGGTGTTGAACTGATTAACGCTGAATATTTCATGATTTAATTTCCAATTATATCCAGTTATTCTCAATTAATATGATTTATTTCACACTGTTCTTTTAATTGCAGTTCTGTGTTTTGCCATGTTTTCATTTCATTGCAAAATTGTGAATCCGACTAATATATTGTCCTGGTGTTAAATGTTATCCTAGTAACCATTTACCGAACGAATCATTTAATTTTTTCTGGTGTGAATAATTCTATACACGAACTTCAATTCCTGGTAAATCTCTACAGATCGTTCCCGACACTAAGTAGGAAAACCTCAATCAGTTCTACTCAAGTTTATGTTCTTCAAGTGTAAATTATTGAAATTACTGATAAAGGAATATGGCTACCGGTGTTCTCCGAAACTGCCTCGGAAATTCGCAATCAACGTACAATTGACAGTCGTGAATTTAAAAAAAGAAAAGAATGTCAATACTTTGTGTAGTGATCAAGGAGAAGGTAAACAAGATATTGATGGTAGTTAAAATTCAACATATATATTGGTAAAATAGGCGTGTAATTACAACTGTGAAAGATTAAATATCGAACTAGTTTTAATCGGAGAGACGTTGAATGGACGTTTAAATTGGGGTTTTGTAAATACCAGACGAAGTTACCTTTTAAGACTGGAAAGTCGACAATAAAGATTATAACTTGTAAAATTTAATACAATAAAACTAACGTTAATACAAACTGGGCTCAGGTTTCACTAGCCAATGAATATGTGATAGTACATCCAGCAGATAGAACGACCTGTATGATTTAAGGCGAAATATTGGTATACATTTAAAGATTTCAAAACCCTCTATTCTCAATGTAATTCATCACCATGGCATTTGGGGAAAAAGATGCTACTGTAATAAGAATTGACATTGAACAAGGAATGAAACAAAGAACAAAATGTAGAATAAAATAGAATAGAAGAGAAAATATGTAGCATTTCAATTCAATCAATGTAAAATGAACAAGATTTGAATCACCTCTAATGCCCTGTACGTTGTTTTGTTAGTAATAGGGATTGCGCTTTTTCCTGGAAGTTCGCTGATTAGTTGTATATCAATCTTTATACGTGATTTGAAATGACCAGAAATTCCTAAGATTTCTATACCACTTCAATGTTCTTAGTGATGAAGGAAAAACAAATTAAAAAAATTCTTTGAACCAGTTCAACACCGAGACCGTTATATTAAGAAATTATGACCACGAACAGATTTCATCAATATAGTTTAATATATGCAATCTAGAACATGTATTTATGCAATCTTATCATTGTTGCAAATGAACAATAAATGGTAAAAACATAGAACGCCGGTTAAGTTGACAAGCGATTATATATATACAAAGGGTAACCCAGACCTATAAACTGAGAAAGACCGAATAGAGCAAACGTCAGTGTTAAAGTTCCATTTATACTGCTGACGCGACCTGAATACGAATTAACAAGAATCCCGTACAACAGTTACGAAGATAAAACTATAGACAATACATTTCTACAGACTAAAATTCGATGTTCGAAGTATGAATGGAACTAAACTGACTAAGTTATATATTTTACAAGCTATGTTGTCCATGCACCAAATATATAATCGTAACAAGTCACTCAAAGGCGTGTTGTTTTTCCGAACAAAACCATTTTTGCTACAACACTGTGTTTATAGACATTAAATACAAAATAGATTTATTATCTGAAATTTAAAAAAAAAAAGTACTCACATAAACAAGAGGATCATGTAATGGCAGTTATCATGCATTTGAAGGTTTCAAAATGATAGAAAATAGTCTGCACATATTGACTGCTTTTGTTTTATTTAGGTTCTCTAAGAGCAACTAGATATGAATTAGTAATAAAGACAAGTGAACCATGAGTATTTTAATTGCTTTTCCGACAATAAAGAAACTATCAACAAAAACATGAAAATTAAAATGATGAAAAAATATATCCACACTCATCATTTCATTATAATGTAAAATAAAAAAGAATCAAAACATTTCATTTAAATTGGATATCTTCGTCATAATGTAAAAGAATTTTTATTTTGCATTAACCTTATGGGAGATCCAAGACATGCACCAGTACGTTTATAAAAGGAGAGATAAAATGACTTAAAGGAGTATGTTGACGAAGGGCTTTAATTGGTCATGAGATTTTAATGTTTTTAATCAAGCCAAAATACTACAAATTTCAGAAAGAAATTTTGTGATAATACTATTAATACAAAATAACCTCTTTTTGCTACATCAGTGGTTGTAACATCAGTTTAGGTCCAATATATGGTATAATTTACTTTGGCCGCAAATATAGAAATTGTTTGTTTCTATGGATTCAATGTGACTATTGGCACCTTTTGGTTATAGAACATTTTGGATCGTAGGTTGAGGCGAAAGTTTTCCTAAAGCTTTTAAGTGCAAAATGTACTTACTTTGAAGTCTATTATGTTCTCTTATGAAGAAATTTGTGGCATAGTATTAAGGGCTTTGTAATAGACCCATTTAAGAACCAACTTATGGCCTCTAAAAATATAACGATGAAGTTAAAATCCATGGCCATATTTGGCCAAAATTGAACCTTGTCCTTTACGCATGTCAAAAAAAGGAAACGGAAAAAAGTAAAATTCAACTGTTCCGCAGCTATACGGTAAATTATATAGATTACATACCAAATTGAATGACCAGTTTAAAATTATTTTTTAAAGAGAAATTAGCACTAAGTCTTGTAAATTGTATAAAAAAGTTTAAGCAATTTAATTTTACAAACAAACTACTGTACAAGACACACAAACAAATGTCACCGATTCCTTTGTTTATGCTTTCCATTTGTTTTTGACTGTTCTCTCACTTACGTAAACACCGCATAGTACCAAGTGTCAATACATGTAGTGTATACACCTTACAGTACCAAGTGGCACATGTAATGTATACACCTTGTAGTACCAATTGTCAACTCGTGTAATGTGGGTTAATGTTATTGACGCGATACTTGTAGCACAGCCTTTCAAAATATAGTGGCGGGTCATTGGTTCCATATTATAAGTTTTCAAGGGCAATGTTTGGTTAAAATTTAATTTCTAAAGATTAAATGGAGAGTTAGAGAATACAATCTTTTCAATTGGGATATCAAATTGCAGATAAAACACCTAAAATAAACTTTAATTCATACATATACCTGCATATAGTGACAAGTGATTTAGAAAAATATATTTGTGATTGAATTCATGTATTATATAAAAGTGTTTTATTATCATAAATACTTATGGTGTATTTATATATCTCAAACACTTAGCAACAGCAGGACTTATGAAATTAAATTTACAGTGAATCCTTACAATTCAAGAAAGCTTTAGTGATTACTTGCTTTAATATTAAACTTTGCTTTTAAGGACTCGTGACATTTGTATTATTCCCTGTGGGTCAAGTGGAATACTTCATAATATATATTTGTATGGTTCTCATCCGTCAAATAGTAAATGTTTAACAAGATTTTTCCATTTCGAAAAGAACAGAAAAATTGACATTTACATAAATCAAACGTTTATTTCTCTTTAATTTTCATTTCGTTTTTACTTGAATCAATAAAGTCTCATATGAGTCGTTTTAAAGTGTTTAGTGTGATTATTTGGAATACTAGTAGATTATGTTCGCATCAACTTTGTTGTGTATCTTAGACGCATGAAATTATTAAACGTGTTGTTTTCAATTTTTTAACATTTGTTTGAGTAGGTGTAACAATATCCTGCTATGCCAAAGACGACCATGCAGTCGGTTTCCAACGATACTGTTTAGCATGCTAATTTATTCTTCAATAGTCTAGTTGGCAGAATGATCTAATGCCCTTGACACCGTACATGCTCGCGTTTCCGTTGACGTCTCAACAACTTGAGCTATAAATATAGGATAAAAATTTGGAAACCTTTTGCAGATCTACCACTGCTGAGCTTAATTTCGAGATAAGTATATGTACAAGAACTTCACTCGAAGTTAATATTAACTTTATTGACTTTCATTTATTAATACACGTAGAAAATATAACATCCTACATAAAAAAACATATGATCTGAAAAAAATGTTATCCTTGAACCCTCTCCCACCCGAAACAACCCTTATCGCGCTTGACATTACCTCCCTCTTTAACATCCCCACTGACTGAATTTTCAATATAGCTACTAACTTTGATATTGAAATGCAATAATCTTCTCTAGCCAATTAAGGTTACGATCCGACCCTCTGGTGAGGAGGGTACCGGATCGTAACCGTTGTTTCGCGAAGATGATATAAATGGTAAACACTATTTCCATTAAAATGAAACAGCAATGGAGACAAAAATGGTCACGTTCTATGCCAATATCTTTGTGGTCAAATAAAAACAGCAAATTCTCCGATACCTCGGGTTACTAACCTCTCAGAATAAAGCGGTTTGTTTAACCAAAGATACTGTGACAAAGCGATAACGTTAACTTCGCGACCATCCAACCAACGTGTGCTATGATTGCGTTGGATAAAAACCGCAATTTTTATACGTGTGCATTCAAAACAAATTTCTTGGTAGAGGGGTCTAAATACAGCACAAACAACATTTTCCAAAAGACCAAAAAAGTGAAAAAGTATATTTTAACAAAACGCATTTGACTCAGTAGCAGGTCGAACAACGGATGTTCTTTAACCCTGCTGACTGCCATTGGCGATTGCCAAATAAACGAATCACCAGATGTAACAAAATGGATCTTAACTATTAATTTAATATCAAACAGAAAACAATAAACTTGCGGAAAAGGTGGTATACCGCATGGTTATATATATATTAAACCAATGTTTGTTATTAAGAACATCGACTGTTGAAAATAAATATTACAGACAGCATCAGACAGATGATAAACAACACAAGATAAAATCCACACAAAACAACATCAAGTTTAAAACAACAATTGGTAAACAGATGCATTCCCATTGTTTATACATAGATGTAAGACAGCATGAGCTTAAGTATGTAGATTAACCCTAAGCAAAAAAAATGGTTATCAAGATTATCAAGCAGTAATGCTACCGAGTTCTGCAAAAAATAAAAAAACATCTCATCAAATGATCAATACTACTAGATATCCAGATTGTATGGAAGGTGTTGTACCTAATACATTTCTAAATTGTTTGTTACATGCCATTTAAGAATAAAATAACTCATTAAATCTTATCGGAAACATCCAGGTTTGAGTAGGATGTTGTTTAATACAAGGCTAATGAACAAGAGCTTTACAATTTATATATCGCTAACATAACATAAGTATTGTGTTGTGACGACGATAGCTATAATGTATTCCTAAGGATGTATAGTATTAATGTTATAATGTATATCATTGTCGTCTCAACGTCCTCAGTGAAAAAAAAATACTGATTATCATTTTAAATGGATACATGGTAAATCTTTGTAACTAGGGAATATAACAATAAGAAAAACAGAACAG